CTGCACACCCCTCCCTCTGGGCCTCTCACGAGCTGGACATCAACATTGCCCATCAACACCCCAGGGGATGGAAACAGTGACAGCAACAGCAACAAGGGAGAGAGTCTCTCAGCTCACATGGTCTCTGCCCCAGCCCCAAGGAAGATGCTTGTGAGTCCCAGCCAGGAGCTCTACAGCCAAACTATGGTAGGATCAGACAACTGCATCCTCCAAGCCTGGAGGAGGATGGAAGCAGATAGGAGAACCCCCTCTCCAACCCCAGCCACCCCACAGCACAGCATGGCCTGAGGCAGAGCAGACACTCCAAGTCTTCTGCCTACTCACCTGGACAGCACAAACCACAGGATCCCTGCAGACAGGAGGACCAGGACCACCACCACCACTATCGGGACTGCCAACCCAGGCCACATGCCCCAAGGCTGCCCTGCAACTAACACACAGCCAGGAGTGGGTGCCACAGCTTGGGCCATGCACCAGTAATAGCCCTGACCTTAGTGTTGGGGGTGTGCGTGTGTGTAGACACGTGTGTCCAGGCTCTGCTGACCTGACTGCTGCAGGGGCAGGCAGCAAAGCAGTCTTCCCCTGCCTTTATGTCTGCAGGGTAAGGCAGGGCAGAGGGAGGCTCTGGAGCATGGGGACTTGCTCCATCTCCCTGTACACAACTGGAGGGTCTGGAATACTGCTCAACCAGACTGCAGGCTTAGGCTCAGCAGGCCTACTGCTGCCTGACCTCGAGCTCCAAGTGTGCCGAAATATCATCTTCTTTGGTAGAAGAGTAGAGGGGCCAGCTCTGATCTCACATGCACAAGCAAGACCTGAAGCAATGCAGCAGCTCCGGGAACCAGGCGACGCAGCCCTCTGAAGCAGGACTCACCCAGCCCCACAGCCCACTGCTGAGTCAGGCTCTCAGGGTGACCATGCTCCCGACCTCTGTCTTGGTGCGCACACTGCTCTGGAACCTGCTCCAGGCTCAGCACTCTCTCCCAGGGAGGCCACCCCTGCCAAATCCCAGGGCAGAACAACCATTACCAGAGACGTAGGTCTGAAATTCCAGCAGTGACGCAGCCCCAGCACCAGCCGCCGTGAGACCCTGGACTGTCACCATGTATTTCCTTCCAGGTGTCTGATGAGGTGGCGTGTACTGCGTGACAGAGTTGTTCACCAACACGTGCTGCCATTCAAGGAAGCTGCCATCTTGCACTCTCCTGGTCGTGATGTTCAGCTAGAGGAAGGACAGATACCTGATGAAGCACTGACCTCCCACTCCTGCCACAAGCATCCCTACAGAATGGGGCTGCTGCTTCTGGCAGGGGACAGGAGGGGACCTAACCCCACCAGAAACACCCGCAAGTGTAGAGCTGGAGGACCTTGGCCAAGGAGGGGTTACATGTCTCCTCAGGCTGCCTGCACAGAGCCGCAGGCAGAGAGGTGCCTGGCAAGGTGAGGGAGACCATGGGCAGTTTGTGGTCCCCTTGTACCTGGTATCCAATGATCTCCCCTTTGCAGGAGGGCAGCGCCTTCCACTTGAGGGACCCTGTGTTGGGATCCAGCCACAGCTTCTCTGGTTTGTCTGGCACTGGAAGCACAAGAGGATGGGGTCATGCATGAGGCTGGTGAGGATTTGTCCCCTACAAAGGCTGCACGTGCTGCAGCAGCAGCAATGGTGTGGTGAGGCACACCAAGAGTGAGGAGAGGACATGTCCTGCCCCAGGGCCTTGCACAGCCCCTTCCCCAGAGCTCCACAGGCTCCATGCTGCCCTGATCCTGGGACCATCGCTGCAGGGAGCAGATGCTCAGGTGAGCTGCTGGGTGGGGGGCAGCTCTAGGTGTCATGCAGGTGGACATATACCTGTCTCCTTTGTCCTGATGAGCCGTGTGTACAGGATTGTCCTGGGTGGCAGGGAGATGGTGACACTGTAGGTAGTGAAGGGCTGCAGGTGGGGACAGGTGAATGTTCCCTCATGGCCATGTAGCATCTCCTCTCCCTTCACCTCCTCAGCCTCACAGGGAGGCGAGGAAGGCTCTGCCAGGCGGCACATGGCCCAAATGTGCTCACAGGCATGAGGGAGCCTGCAGGTCCAGTTCAGTTTGATGCTGGTGCTGGCAAGACAACCTGAAGGACCTGTGTGAAGGAAACATTGCAGGAGGGTGACTTCCTTCCTTTCCCCTCCCAGCCTTGCAGTTGACCTTCATCATCTGCACCGTTCCCAGCACAGCATGGACCAGGCTATCCCTCCTTCCAGACTACACCCAGGCACTGCCTGTACCTTCCTCTGACCCTAGACTGGTCCCAGGGTTAGTCTGGTTGTTACAGGGACTGTGGGAGAATAAGAGCAACATACCTGTGGGCTCTGCAGCTGCCAGCCTGGGGCTAGGGACTGATCTATCTGCCCACTGTTTGCCTTCACACCAGTAATGACTTAACTGGCAAATGCAGGAGCCCGAGCAGGGCCCTGCCCTCCCGCTCCTGGGTTATCATGCTCTTCTCCAGGCAGACCCCCCTGGCTGGACCAGGCACACTGCCTGGTGGCCTATGGACAGCGGTGAGGACTCATCTCCCTCAGTGCTGTGCGGGGTGCCCCAGCTGCTGACGGTGCAGACACTAACCTGTGAAGTACCAGCAGCAGTTTTCTCTGGGGTGGATGCTCACGCCATGCCCTGACCACCCCAAGCACAGAGCGGTAGCACTGCGGGACACACGCGGCACTGCTCTCCATGCCTGATCCACTGAGAGCTCTGAGAGGGCAGCTGCATCGTTCACTTACCTACACAGGTCAGGTTCCCTGCCATGGGGTGCCAGAGGCCTGTGCTGTTCCTCACAAACCAGCCACTGCGAGGAATTTTGGAGCCTTCACTTGGGTTCAGCTTCACACACTTGATTTCCATGGGAGGAGGCCAGTGCCCCTCAGGACATCTTATCTCCAACACTTCATTCGGGTCGAAGGTCTCCCGTTCTTGGTCAAAGACAAACCTGGGGTCCCACTGGGGCTTATGGCATTTCTCTGCACCTGCAAGTTGGGAAGGTGTTAGCAGGGCAGAGGCTGTTCCTGCAGGACATGCCAGGGAATGGAGCAGAGGATCCCATTCCCTGGCATGGTGAAGAAAGGGACAGAGCTCCCTGACATCACAGCCTTAGCAAGGGCTTGAGGACAAGACAGTCCCCACACTGCTTCCCCCAGGCCTCCCAGGAAGGCCCAGGAGGAGCTGGAGTGCTAGGGTTTGGGAGCATCCCCAAGGGGGTCATGTTATGCAGAAAGCCTGCACAGAGACTGATGGACCACCATTTGACCCTGGTGCCCTCTTTGTCCCTCACGGAGGACAACACCACCCTAAAGCTTCCTGTGAAGGTAACGAAGCCTGAGCCGAAATGCTGGCTGCTGGAGGGACAGCATGCAGGACAGACTGGGAGGGGAGGCCAGCATGTGAGGAGAAGGTCAGCCTTTGCCCTGCCTGCATGGGTTGAGAAGACACAGGGAGCAGAGTCTTGTGATCCCCCAGACCCTGACGCATTAATTTTGGCCACTTGTGCTAGAAGTGGCAGTCAGACCTACAACACTGTAGCCCCCATCTTCTTTGCACATGCTCTTGCCAGAAGCCCTCAGGGAGACCCATGCGCTTCCACCAGGAACCTCCCCACCACCCGTGAAGCACAGTCTGGAGCCCTGAAAACCAGGCTCCCTGCCCTAGCCTGGCATGGGCAGGTCTGGACACTGCCCCCAACCTTGACCCCAAAACCTCTTCCTGCTGGACCCTCCAGGACTGAGGTTGGTTTCAGTCCCCTCCCCACCAAGGCTCCCTGGAGCCACGGGGCAAGCACAGGTCAGGCTCAGGGGCTACCTCAACACACCATTTTCCCAGGCAGGCAGAGAGCCTGAAGGCTCCTGTGCATGCACAGCCTGCCTTCCCCTGCTCTGGGAGGGCAGAGCGGGGCAGCCAGCAGAGATCCTCGTGCCTCCCTTACCAAAGCACTTCACGCTGACTGTGGGCTGGATGTTGATCCATCTGCCTCTGCTGTCGCTTCCATTCCAGACTTCTCTGTACACAGGTTTCCCGTTGCTGATGGACAGGACTTTTCCTGTACATTTGACATAGGTGAAGGATGGCTGGAAACCCTCAGGACACCTCAACATCACTTCCTCGTTCTTCCTGTAATTCTTCTGGTCCGGTGCCAGCTGGAGTCCTTGGCCCCAGCGAGGCCTTTGGCACACTTCTGGCAGAAGGGAAAATGGGTGTTAGTTGGGGTTGGAGGCTTCAAGGAGTGGCGGGGGTATCAGCAATCCCCAGCACCTGAAGGGAGAGGGAAGGCGACACATCCATCTGCCAGGATGTGACCCCCTCAGCAAGGCTTGTTGGGATGGGGGTCTTCTCATGGGTGTCAGCCAGGGCTGGGGCCTGCCCAGGCACACGGTGCATGAGGATGTGCCAGAATCCAGTGGGGGAATGGTCTCGGATATCAAAAAGAGAGAGATCTGAGTGGCCCAAATCAGCCATTGGAAGTGCAGCCCTGGCCACAGTGGCGATGGTGGAAGCTCAGAGATGTATGAATGGGGCAGGATTTGACCACAGAGCTCCATAAAAGGCACCTCCTGACACCCTGCTTACTGATGCACACTATGCTTCCCTCAGTGTGGATCCAGACATCACTGCTTTTCCTCCCTAGCCACACATCTCTGTTTAGAGATCCAGAATAATTAAATGACTGGGCTGTCCCTGCACATTTGACATGAGTAAAGGATGGCTGGAAACCATTTTTGCAGCTCAGTGTCACTTCTTCATTCTTTTTGTAGCTCCCACGGACTGGTGCCATCTGGAGTCTTGGGTCGCACCAAACAGGCCTTTGGCATGTTTGTGCCAGAGGTAAGATCAGGTTAAGGAATGTTTTTGGGAGGTGGCAAGAGGAAGCTTGGGACAGTTTTCCATCCACCATGAATCTGATCTCTCATCCTGACACACACAAGAGTCCCTCTACACCCACTGTGTGTCCAGGCACTGGTTTTATCATCACCTGTATATCCTGGAGTCCCAAGCCCCCGTGGGGTCCATCCTCCCATTGGGTGCCTGAGAACCCGTTTTCTTGGCCCCTTCCATGCCCAAGTGAGCAATGCAGCAGCAACAGCCCGTCCCACCAGAGCTCACCCAAACCCCAGAGAACCTTTCCAGGGAAACAAGCAGCACAAGATGCCAAAGCCTCCCCCTCCTGCTATTCCTCCTCCTCCTAGCCTCACAGCTGCAGGTCTCCATGTGGAGGCAGAAGATGATGGCCAGGAAAGGCTCCTGCCTTTGAACCCCTCCCCAGGAACTGCTGCCTACAGGAAAGTGCTGAGACAGAAGGTCAGGATAGGGGGGAAAGTCAAGGCATCTGGACCTCCCATTCCTGGACTGTCACCCAGGTGGGGCTGGTGATGCAGGGCTGTGCTTACCTGTGCAGGTGGGAGTCCCGTTCCAAAAGCTCTGGGTGCCATTGGAAATGCATCTGACCTGGGGGACCGATGGCACATACCCCCCAGCACAGCTCAGCTGCACCAGATGGTTCAAGGCGTAGCTGCTCTGGTTCGGGGTAAGCTGCAGCTTGGGGTCCCAGTCCGAGGGAGCTTTACATCCTCCTGTGTGCAAAGGCCACAAGGGAGAGCCCTGAGGATCGCTGGGCTCCAGCAGCATCCTCAGGGGTGAGGAGGCCCCGTCCAGAGGGGTGCTGGTCCCCTTGACTTCAGAAGGCTGGCAGAGATGGGCAGCTCCCAGGAGGAGGCCCCAGACCCCAGGTGTAACCCTCCTGCCAATCCACGTGCTGCACAGGGGTCCCAGCCAGCGGGATCCAGCAGCACTCTCTCCCCCAAAGACGGGCTTGTGGAGTGCAGGAGCTCCAGTGAGTCCCTGCTGCCATTGCACAGCCTCCCGACCTGGCCCTGCGAGGCAGCCGCCAGCACCGACAGCCTGCCCTCAGATGTCCACGTCTGCGTGCACAGCACTGGCCACTAAGCTCACACCCCACTCCACACACCCAGCCTCTTCTGTGCACTTCACCCAAAATGAGCCTACCTTGTCCTACCCTGGTAGATCCATCACCCAGACTCGCTCACCCAGTCCAAACTGAGTCCCTGAGGAGGCATCAGGGAAGGAGATGGCCTCCCCTAAATTAGAATGAAACACCTCTCTTCAGCTACATGCATCTCTACAACTATCCACTTCCTACCAGCCATCACTCATGGGGATGTACTTCCTTACAGTGGAACGAGGGCATCATCACACTTCCCTTATCTGGCAGCAGGTTTTCATGCCGTCATCTCAAACCTGCGCCTTGGCCCTCCACCACAAAGTGGCCACCGGCCTCATCCTTTGAGACCACATGTGTTGTCCGGATGATAGGAAGCCTCTTCCCCTGCAGCAGGATCCCTCCTAACATCTTCAGATCATACATTTCACTGTAACAGACAAAAATCTTGACAAATCTGAAACCCTTGACTCAGTCTGAGCCTAGGTGGGCATCCTAGGCATGCATCTTGCCCCCTCCAGTCACTAAAACCCACCCCCCCAAGCAGCAGCACACATGCCCTCACCCTCCTGCTGGTGGGTGACATCCAGGATCCTTCCCACCCCAGCAGAGTCCATGCTACCTGCCCAGCACTGAGAATTTGACACCAGCCAGTGGGGAGGAAACTCTTCTGCTGCATGAAAATGAACTGCTCCTCAAAGAGCACATTTCCACAAGGACTGTTTTTTCCTGTTGGTACTTATCACAAAACAGGTCACGAAGGCTGGCTGTCCCCTAGATGTTCTACAGTCTGAAAGGCTACACAGAATCACCCTTACACAGGAGGAGGACAGGGGATGTAGTAAGAGCAGAGCATGGCTCAGTCAGGAGGCTGAGAATGACCTGCAATGCAAGAGGACACAGTGGCAAGTAGGTTACATTCCCAAGGGAGTAGAGAACAAGAAGAGACAGTGCAGAAGCAGCTGGCAAGGCCAAGGCACAAGAAAGGACAGAGCAATAAGAGCAATGGGAGCAAGAGGCTGTCTTGTGCAGACCTCAGTGGGGAGAGGGAGATGAGCAAAACTGGGCCATGGGCACTGTCAGCAAATAACATGATCCTTTGTTGTCTGGCCTAGAAAATGCATGCAGGTCATTTAGATGTTCACGGCTATCCCTGAACAGCAAAGAAACTGGACACAAAGAGAGAGTGAAAAAAGCACAAGTCTGAGGCAGACATGATTCCTTAATGACACTTGAAGAGCACCAACTGCAGCAAAAGCCCTTGCAGGGGCTTGACTTGGCACCAGGGCTTCCCTCTCAGTGTCAGTGGAGGAAAACTCTGCTGTTGAGTCAAGGTGAATAGGCTCCATCCTGCCCTGGACAGCTGAGGGCTGACCACTGCTGGAAGGGCAGCATCCCTGCAGCCACCAGAAGTTGGTAACATGACTCATGACCCATCTGATGACTTTGGTAAACCACTTCTGCTCCTATTTCCCTGCAGAGAGAATGACTCACACCTCTAGGTCCCCTAGACACTGGTGCAAAGAGCAGAAGCTCCTACTGTGCCCCATGAGGACCTCAACAGGTACTGGCAAACCTAGGGCACAGCACAGTCTCCATAGGAAAGCCCACACTCTCTGTAGGAAGAGCCCAACAGAGACCCAGGATGTGTTCCCAGTCCTCCTGGCACAGAGAAAGAACAGAAAAAAACATTGTTAAAGAACAGTCGCACTGAACTACAGCTTCCCCAACCCCAGGGACTGGGGTAGACAGCAGGCACTCCAGCCAACAAAAGAATTCATCTCACAGCTCCCCACATCTTTGCAAAATACCACCACTGCCTTCCCCTGCAGTAGGGATGCTACCTAGATTGCCCCAGGAAGGCCAGTGCTGCTCTGACTGCCCTGGCTTCCTCTGTCCACCGTGCAAGAAGAACCAGCCTCCTCCTGCTCACAGGGACGCTGCCCATTCCCAGGGGGGACATTGCAGCTCTCAGGCGTGTGCTGGCTTTCCCACCACACCAAGGTTTGCTGCCCTCCACCCCTAAGCAGAGCTTCACCCCACCACAATCCAAAGGGTGGCTGAGTGTCTCAGGACTGACGCAGACACCATCTCCAGCCCTCCCCAACACAGCCACTGTTGGCTGAAGAGGGTAAAGCCAAAATAGCAAATATGCAGGTAGAGGGGCAGCAAAACCTTTCCTGTGAGAGAGAAGCACAACCCGCTCTTACCTGCTTCCTTGGGTCCCCTCTGATTCTTGGGACCAAGGTCCTCCTGTCTCCACGCAAGCAGCAGAGGGGCAAGGGCCAGGAGAAAGGCCAGAGCCAGCCACCGCAGGGCCATGCTGTCATGAAGTCCCAGGCAGGACTCGGCCTGAGCCACCTGGCAAAGGTTATCAGTGTACCCCAACACAGGAGAGGTGCAGACACAGAAATTAAACAGCCACATAGGGAAGTCACACACGGTGCAAGAGGCTTCCTCTTTAGAAAGAGAGCATCCCACCAACCACAGGGCTGCTCCTTGCTCATCTGTCTCCACGTAGCAAATCCAGGCTCGACTGGGTCCCCTGTGTGCCTCGGTCCAGACTTTTTGCTGGCTACATCAGGTCTCTTCTCCCACAAACACCCCCAAAACCTCAAGCCTACTTCAATGCTCTGTCCCTCCAGATCCAGAGGTGGATATTATGGAAAACACCCCTGGTCGCGTACCCAAGACCCCCCTAGGGTGCTTTCATCATTAGTCAATTTTGCCTTGAAATGTCTCTACTTGTTACCTTGAACCGACCCAGCTGCAACAACCTTGCTGTTGAAGCCCACCAACAGACCACCTAGATCTGACAGTCTCCTGGTCTAGCCAGAGGTGGCTCATTTCCCTTCTCCAAACCTTTAATGATACCCTGCTCTGAGCTATGCTTTCTCAGTGCTTTCTAGGATGTGAAGCACCTTGACATGGACAGTGCACACAGTACTGGAGGTAAGAAGGTCTTCATGGAGCTGGATGGAGAAGACTTATTCTTTTCCCTGGATAGGTCAGACAAGATCTTTGGGTATGGAAAGGAATTCCCAGGGTGCTCCTCATTTTGGGCTATAAGCCCAAGGCTGGCTCACTCACTCTCCCCCAGTCTCCTATCCCTGAAGATGACACCACCGAGATGTGCTCTGGGTTCCTTTCCAGATCACACACTGTTGCATGGCCTAAAGCTTCCAAGTGTGCTGGCTCCCTGTGCTGTTGCAGCTCTCCCGGGCAGCTCCTGCTTCAACTATGTGGTTTGTACAGACTTTCTCTTTTTCTTGGGACAGAAGAGCATTATTGCTCTGTGGTCCAACACAAGCAGTGTTCTGGGCATGAATGCTGTCAACCAGGGTGCTCTTCACCACCCATCTGGAACCAATTGGCCCAGAGCTCCATGGATGATCCTTTCTCAGGAACCACTGTCCTCAGCACTGCAGGACAGAGTCTATCTTGGTGTGTCTATCTGCATTACCTCAGTAGAGCAGCAACATTGAGGGTTTTCTGGAAACTGGGTATAACCTAAAATCGATTCAGGAGTGTAAATACACCAAGTACAGATGTCTCAAGTGCAGCTGTTGTGAAATGAATGGAATAAAGTCTTCTATCAAGCCTACAGCAAGAGGAGCAGCAGCACTAAGTCATGTCCTCTCTGTTTCCTTGGCAGTTCTCTGGGCTTTGGGAAACAGGCTTATTTTGTCCCTGTGCAGCCAGCAAAGGCACAAGCACCCAAGATAATGGCCACAGACTCATAAAACTCTGGTGTTAGCTGTAGACACTCTCACTGCCTCTCTTTGCCCTATGCAAGAAACAAAGATAGTGAAAGAAAACAGCCAAGCTTTAAAAGTGCACATGTGATACAAGAGGCTTCCTAGTGCACCTGATGTGAATATTTGTCTTCTTTTCCTCTATCCTGAAATGCACTGGTGCCTAGCACATGTGTTTCACTTCTTCCTCCTCAGAAATTTACCATTTTTTGAGTGTATAGCATGCACTAGAGAAGTGCTGAAGAAATACAGAAAGACAGCACACTCAGTCGTGTGCCTAGCTCTTACACAGTCTAACTTTAGAGCTGCTGGTTCAGCTCATGACACTTTACTTTGTGGGGAACCACACAGCAGAGGCCTGATGGGAGGTTTCCTAGGGACTGTCAAGTCACACAACAACTCATGACTCCAAACTTCGCATGGTATGGTCGACAGGAGGTGATGAGCTCCATCTCTGTGAGACCACCGCCTGCACCTCCAAGAGGACACCAAGTGTGGGCTGTGCACGTTCTGCATGCACCACTTTAGGCCTTGTAGTGAGATTAAGTCTCACAAAGCCATCTCAACACATCTTAGGTGCTTTCTAATACATACTTCCTGCTGTAGGCTAGAGTGGACGTGTACATGTTCTCACATAACAAAGCCAGTCAGCCACATACCTTCCTCTCAGTGGGACTGAGGCCCCAAGACAGTTGATTTGATCATTGCAAACATGATTTATGGTCTGTTTCCTGAAGGTCCAGTTCAATTGTCTGTGAAATAACAGGACTCATACCTTTGGACTGAAGAAAAGAAAAACTGCTTGCAATTTGCAATCAGTTTTACTTCTGATAGGGAAGAACACTGGGGGATCAAAGCCATTCACAAAACCACAGGAAAGGAGAAGTAACTGTGGCTTTTGAGAATCAGGTTTTGTGGAAAGCACTGCTAACATATTCACCATACTTTCCTACAGTAAAGTCTATTCCTGTGTGAGTCCTCACAAATAACAGAAGTATATCTGGGGCTAAGCCTCATCCCTACCCCATAACTGTCCTTGGGGAAGCGTGGTATGGGGGGCACCTATAGATCATCAGACATGACCACAGTGATGGAGGTGGGCTGAGGCCAGTCTGGGATGTCATCCCACAGGGTCAAGGTCTGTCGTGGGAAGGGTAACCCAGTCAGATCCAGACACAGCACGGCCAGGCAGGGGTCTGCTCCTTGCACAACACTGTGTGATCTGGGGGGCTGGCTCCCCACATGCTGCTACTTCCTCTCCAGGATGAAATGTCTGCCTCAGTCAGGGCTGCAGCCTGCACTGACAGAGCCTAGAGGCTCTTCGAGCAGGGAGAGCTGGAAAACACCCACAGGATCCTGGCTAGAACCCGATCCAAAGTCCTGCCATGGGGTCTTCCTCTCCACTCCAGCAAACGTCCCCATCCCATTAGCCCTGAACCTTCTTCCATGCAGGGATCACGCGGTGCCGTCAGGGATAAGGAGGCCAGTGCAGCGTGCCGGCCTGAGCTGAGGAACCCTCCAGCCCCTTCCTCAGGGTAATGATAAAACCCAGACCTCCCAGTCCCCTACAGCAGGTCTCCCTCGGAGCTGAGGGGAGAACCTCAGACCTATAAGAAGATGGAGGGTCATGGCAGCCCACATAGTGCCAGGATCCCTCCAGGGTGACAGCTTGGTGATGATGGGTTATCACAGCCTGCCTTGGCTCAGTGCAACACCCGGGACGTCTTCAGGGAGCTGTGCTGGCCTGAGCGGTGTGACATTGGGTCCTCTTTGCTGTCACCCAGCTGGCAGCAGCAGCTGGGCAGGGACTCCCCCTTGTGGCCCACCTCTGCTGCCCGGGCGGCTCATGCAGCTGCCAGGGCTGCCCACGGCCTGGCCTCCCCTGGGACAAGTGGGCTGGGAGCAGAGATGTGACAGGGACAAGGTGGCAGGGGGCAAGGGTCCCAGGAGGGCACTCCTGGGTGCGGGGCAGAGCTGTGGCTGGCCCTGGGGCATGGATGTCAAGGTCTCCAGTGACATGGCTGAGGTTCTCAACAACTTCTTTAG